CTTTCTCCTATTATTCTCAATAACCAAACATAACAAAACCAAACTGGTCTTGCCCAATCACGCTTCTGATCTTTCCCTCAAGTCTTCTAGTTAGAATCTTTAGTAATATATTTGACGCGTGTGGTATCAAACTAATTGTTCGATGTTCCTCGCATTTTCTTGCTCCCGGCTTTTTCTCGAATGGTACCATCACACTCCTTAGAAAGTCTTCCGGCCATTTCCCTACACAATACATTTGTTGACATAATAATACAACTTCATCCAATGCTTTTCCTTCCAATGCTTTTATCATTTCTGCCGGTATGTTATCCGTACCTTCTGCTTTTCCTGACTTTAATCCCTTAATTGCTGTTAGCATTTCGTCTCTTAATATATCAGGCCCAATGTCATTTGCATCTACTTCTTCCTAATTCTCTACCAAAGCAACATCTGGCTAGCCGTTCTTGTCGTACAATGTCTCTATGTATTCGATCCACCGCTTCTTGATTTTATCCGGGTCTGTTAGTAGTTCTCCTTCTTTACTCTCTATACCTCCCTGTATCTTGCCACTTTTCACAGCAGATGTCAATTCTTTGACTCTTCAATATACCTGATCTGACTTTCCCATTTTTTCCAATCTTTCAATTTCCTTGCATTCCTCTTCTAACCAGTCTTCTCTCGTCTTATCAGTTCGTTATTCAGTCTTCTGTAATTACTTTTCTCCTCTCATCCATCTTCTCTAGCCTTCCGTCAGTCACCCATGGTTTCTTAGCACTCTTCCGTTTCACTTTACCTACGGTAGATTCTGCTCCTTTAGTCATTGCACTTTTCAATCTGTTCCATCTGCTCTCAATGCCGAAATTTGTTTGGATGTTATCTATTAGCTCAGTGTTCGTCGCTAATGCATACTCTTCAGTGTTGTTTTTCAGTTTTTCCTGATCCCATTTCAATATTGGTTTGCTTTATCCATTTTCTTCATCTTTAGGCGGACCTTCATTAACACCAAATTGTGTGCTTGGTGCTTTCCATGTGTAACGTCTTCTATTATTGTTCTTAAACATGGTGTTTGTCACTACCAGATTGTTTCTGGTACAAAAGTCTATCAGCAGCTCTCCTCTGTTGTTTCTGGTTCCTAGTCCGTATTCTCCAACCACATTTGCTTCCTTCCCTTCACCCACAACCGCATTCATGTCGCCTAAAACCACTATGTACTCTTTTCCTTTACACTGTCTCAATCTCTTCCATTTGATTGTAAACTTCTTCTATTTCTTCATCTAAATGGTCGCTCGTTGGTATGTAAACCACCAAAACTATCAAATCCGTTGGATTACCTCTAAAACGCACCATCATAAGTCTATCACTACAACAATCTACTTTGACTACTGCTTGACTGGTCTGTTTGTCCATAAGCAACGCAACAGTCCGCTGTGTTTCTGCTCCTCCTGAATATATCATTCGAAAATCACCACTGTTGATATCACCCTTATCTTTCCATCTCACTTCCGTCATTCCCAAGATGTTAACATGGTATCTCTCCATCTCTCTTTTTACATTCTCTAACTTCCCTGATCTTGCCAATGTTCTCACATTCCACGTACCGATCCTCAACACGTTGTAATGATTTCGCTTGATGACGACCTGGAAGGCCTTACTTCTTCCCCTGCCGGACGCGCCACTCCCGTTAACAGTAGTCCCGTTCACGTTGTTTTTGTTCTCATTTATCTTTGGATTCATGGTGTGTTGGCGAGCGCCTTGGGAACAATAATAGAGGTGGTTTCCCGTTGCCTTCCTCCATCGCAGTACCATATATGAAATGGTGGGTGTGCCCAACCGTTGTCCTGATGAGGATCTTCCGTCTGACCACTTGTCAGCCACTGCCGTTGACCGAGAG